CTGCAGGAGGTCATTGCTAAAATGGAGGCCAGGTTGAGCGAGCAAACTCGTCTCCTGGAGCAGGTGAGGCAAGGCTGATAATCAGTGCGTTCAGCCTCTGGTTGCTAATGGCTCTGACGGAGAGGCCTGCATGTTCTGTAGCCAATATGGGAACTCCCCTGAAAGCTACGGAGGGACGGCTCCCACCAGCACGGGAGCAGTAACCTTCTGTCTGACCTGAGTTTGTCTTGCAACTCTACATCTCCCATTCTTTTTCTAACACCAGATGAGACCTAGCTCTGCATGCAGACTTCATAACTAGTGCATATTTCTACTAATGGGTAAGAAACCCAAGTGCTTTGCTTTAAGTGGCCTCGCCAAGACCCAATTTCTTACATGTTAAATACTCATATTGGAAAATTATTTGGGGTATGATGTGAAAAGCCAGTAAGCTGATGTCCCCGCTGGAGGGAGATCTGACCCATTGGTGGAAAATCCCATTTTGCATCTTGCAACAGCCGTGAGGAGAGTCCAGGTTATTTGCACAAGTGGAAAACTATCTTCCTGACTGGTGGGAAGAATCAGGACAGGGCCTGAACCTTCAAGATTCAGGTGATGTCGTGAAGCCAAATGAAATGGAGCTGGTAGTGGAAAAATACCTACTTCAGATTAAAGCATGATTGTACCGTGGGTACGTGTTCCCCATGCATTGCATTCCCCATGTCCGCTGCCTTCTCTGTGCCCTAGGAACGCTGGAGGGTGACGGCAGAACAATCCAAAGTGGAATCGCTACAGCGCTCACTAGAAGAACAGCGGAGGGTCATGACCCAGCAGCTGGCCATGGAAAGGGAAGAGCTGGAGCGGGCAAAGGTCAGATGAATATGATGATCTCAAGGAGGAAGCATTCCCATTATGTAGCATTAATTCAGGTGGCATCAAGGCCACCAGAAAAATCCTTTTCCTGTCAAAAGAGGACAGGAGAAGGGGCAGGATGGAAATTAATCCACATAGATTTCAGTGTAGCTCAGGGATATTAAGCTAATAGCTGTGGAAGGTTTGGGGGTAAGAAGCAGTTCCACTCAGAGATTAACCAGGTGGGACTTCACTGAGGCATCACGGAATTGCACCAGGAATCCTTTTGAAGAGCAGCATGAGGAGCCCCTGTTCCACTCTTCCTGATGGAAGGGGTACTCTCTCAGACCTCAAGGCAACCTTCCCTACATCTCTCTGGTTTGGAGGACTTGGCTGCATCTGTCTCATGCTTTGCTCCCCCAGAACGTCTTGCTGGAGGAGCAGAAGTCGGTTATGCAGAAGTGTGCTGAGGAGCGTCGAAAGCTCGCCATGGAGTGGTCAGAGTTCCACACCCAACAGAAACTGAGCAAAGAGCGGACAGAGCGTGACGTTGACCGCGCCCTCCAGATAGACTCCCAGAGAGAAGGGGCCATCATGACCCTGGCAAAGGTACCATGGCAAAGCCTGTTCCTGCTTCAGTCCTGCAAGGCTTGAATTCAGCTTTGTCAGCTGATGTGCTAGGGCAGCTAGACAAACTGACAGAGCCTTTCTGATGTGTTTCTTCACCAGCCACTCAGTGATTCCATGGTAACATATAAGTAGCCTTCCTGCATCTTCTCCCCCGTCCATGTGGTCCCTGTTCTGCCCACTTCGAGCAGCACCATGGGGAAGTCTCTTTCTCTCCCCCCAGTGGCAGAGTAAGAACAGATCTGATTGTCGGTGTATTTTATAAATCACTAGGGGGTGGCTAATAATTCAGTGCTAATATTGCTGCTGACAAATTCCCAGTATTGGTGCGTGTTCTCAGCATCAAGGATGTCTGTAGCGTGTGTTCCTGCCATAGGAAAGAATCTTCTGTGGGGG